GGGGGGGGGGTGTCGTACAGTGTTCGGTAAGAGGATGTAGAACACTGAGTTTATGTTTCCTCATGTCGGCGATGGCCGTTTCCATGAGAGCGGAGGGGTGCCTGAATATGAGCTCATCATGCGTTTCGGATGCGACGCAGGAGGTACGGTAATGGTCGGGTGGAGGAATAGCGGTGATGTCTGCGGTGCCTTCTGGGTAGAGTCTGAGATAATGTTTGAGCTCAACGGGTCTTTCATCGGGGTCAATAAAGTGGAGTTTACAAGCGATCTCAAACTCTCCCCAACCGACTTCTTCGACCTGAAAATATTGGGGTTCCAGGGCGTCCCTTGTGGTGATGGTGGTAGTAGTAGTCTCCCTTGTGGTAGTAGTCTCCCTTGTGGTGGTAGACTCCCTTGTGGTGGTGGTGGTTGGATCTCGCATAGAAAGGTTGGACTCATGTTGTCTCTCAATCACACGCACGGGTTGCGCAAACGACGGATGTAATGTAATGACAACTTTCTTCAGAATATGACCCAAATCTTCGTGCACATCACGACTCCTTAGTAAACATATCCATTCATGAGTCGATGGGTCACTTATCACCTGACGCTTCTTCCGGTCCTGCTTCGGCAACATAAAAGCGTACGTACCCAACACAATCCTAACACTAGACGTCATTGACACCCCGCGACTTTCTGGCCCAATAATCCCTCAAAGCCGCCCCCCAATAAATCGTCAGCGCCGCCCCAATAATGATTGCCGTCGTAGAGTTCCTCACCGACGTGGGGCACCGCCTCATCTACCTTGACAAACAATTATCCAACCATGACAGACACACATTAACCCACATGGCTTTACCCATCAGTGAGCCAAGCCCCATGTATTTCTGCACACACGTGTGTTTCTGCACACACATGTGTTTCCCCTTCACTGGTGGTTCCCCATCACTGATGGTTCCCCATCACTGATGGCTCCCCATCACTGATGGCCATAGGATATGTCGCGCAGGAGGAGCAAAGGACAGTTCGTATATATTCGCGCTGACTGTTGAGCAGAAGGAGTACTTCGGTTACTGTTACTTTTTCATTTCCTCGAATGCACGCTCCTCCAAGAGGCACTGGCGGCAGCGCTCGGTGTGCGTTTTGAGTAGTTACCTGCAGCCGGCGTTTTTCGTGCCGCTATGCAAAGCGACTGGTCTATTACTACAGCGGGAAGGTCAGGACTTCAATTCGTTGATGCCAGAGCTTTCGCAGGCGATCAATTTAGTTGAAACTGTCGGGTTGACGGAGGGTCTCCAAGTCTTCCAGCTGAAGACACCCCTCGCCAGTGCCTGTCTCGTGATACACGCCGAACACATCGGCTGTCAATCCCCGAGTACTGAAGTCCCCGTCGAAGAGTATTCCGCCGGCAATACGTCTTGCAGAAGAACGCCTAGAGGAACTCGTAGAGGAACTCCTAGAGGAACGTGTGAAGACCTGAGCGGTCAGAAGCTTACTGGTCAGGACACCAGCAGTGAAGCTTTAGTTGGAGGCCTCGTTGACAATTCCAGTCAGGAACTAGCTAACGCAAAGACTACCGCCACGGCTGACCCCGACTCTGCCCGCGAAAAGCAGTCCAAGGCGCCCGACGAAAGCCGTTTAGGCGATAAGAAGTCCCAGCCCCGGAGGCGGCGGGTCTCTCTTGAGTCCGGGTCGTCGAGTCGCTTGGCACGGCCGGCGGAGGACGGCGAGGTCACGGATTTCTTCAGCGCCGAAGAAGACCAAACCGACGAGGAGGATCCGGCGGCTGGCCAGGAGGAGACGGAAGCGGAGGGAGATAGGGCTGGAGGCAACCACAAGGCAACCAACGATAATACCAACCTCAAGCTGGCGGAGTTGTTGGAGGTCTTGGGGAAAGAGGAAAGGAGTTTGCGCGTTACGAAAATGGACAGTTGGGACGAGGCTTTTCTGAGGGACGAGAAACACGTGGTAACGGAGGGTAGGTTTGCTCTTTATTTGCCGTCAGTGTTGGTGGTGGAAAGTCTTGGTCCAAAGCTGTTGCCAGCAGTATTCTGTATCTGGGAGCAAGTCGTACGTAATCATACGATTTGCGTCATCGGACCGGACCCTGACCGTGTGAGTCAGTTGGTGTTGAGTCTGGTGGCGATGGTGGCGCCTTTGATCCGGAACATTAAGGAGTCGTGTCTGCCGCTGGTTGACGCACCGTTTATGGCTTCTGAGATCAAGACCAAAATTCTATCTCGACGACAGACCGTTTCGGGTCCGTTGGTGACTCAACACATGAACATGACGAGTCGACGTGTGCCCCAAGGAAGTCAGCAGGCGGCGAGTGGACGTTTCATGTCAGGTCCACTGGCTGCCGGTCGTCATCACCTGGCGCGACTCGGGAGTCCTCGCACCCCGGCTTCCAGTGTGGAGAGGTCGCCGGAGGAGGCGTACATCGTGGGTACGACGAACCTGAGCATTCTGGAGCATTTGGAGCACGTGGTGGACTGCGTGGTGATCGTGGACTGCCACTGGGACCGAACGAGTTTGCCAGCCACAATCCTGAGCTGCGGAAATACGCGCCCTCTGTCTACCCATAAATTCGCTAAGGCACCCACCACCTGGCTGAAGACGGCTGTCGGCCAGACAGCCGGCGTCGTGAACAGCAGCTATCTCTATTGCGCCAGCGACCCCAGTCTCAGCAGCGACCAGCCCGTCACTGGCGTTTGGTTGCGGGAATCTAGCGCGATTTCTGTCGACAATCACAAGGCACTGCTGCACGACTGTTGCGGCGGCTCTGTGGCCAAACTGACGGCGGCACTAACGCCAGACCTAGTTATGACCTACGAACAAAAACTGCGGGACTTCATGTACGACCTAACCAAGCAGTTTTTGACGCCCTTCCTCCCTCTGGTCAAATGCGATCTCAGGTCACTGCGTCTGAACCCCTTAATGAAATTACAAAGACGGCCAATCCTTGATAAACACACGTACGGCAAACAATTGGCTGAAATCAATGCACGTTCTCCGACCAATAACGAACGCCTCCGAATAACCGCCGGGCCTTCCGCCAGCACAGTGGAGGGTTGCTTGCCGGAGGGTCGCTTGCCGCAACTCAGTGCTCCCTCACCAATCTTCAACAAGAGCAAACAAAATCGCATTCACAGCTTCTACTGTGAATTCTTTCATAGCAAGGTTTTCGACCTTTGGTTCAACTACGAGAGCTTGCGCTCCTTCAAAGTCATGCGGAGAAGGCAAGTTGACATCCTTCAACAGGAAAAACTTGACCTCAAAGAATTCGCCGCTATCGAGCTGGAAAATGGTGCTCAATATATCAAGGACTCTCTTCCAGAGTGTAGCGATCTTTGCGAAAAAATCTATGCAGAGCTCCAACGACGCGAGAGGTAACCCCCAATATCTAGGCCCAATGCTTGCCCGTCTGGATCACATCCCATCTGTGTGTGCCCATCTGTGTGTGCCCAGAGTGTGTGCCCAGAGTGTGTGTCAACTCGACACACGACAGCATCATTCAACACGACCCCCTCATTGACGGACGGTTCGGCAATTGACGTTTAGACCACGATCTGATTGCGTAGCAAGGGAAGATCTTTATCGAAGCTCTTGGAGTTTTGGCAGAACCAAGACCTTTCGTGAAAATTGTTTTCATAAACATTTGAAGGCAGTTCTGTGTAATGTTCGGTGAAGTGGCCGGTGACGAGGTCTTCAAGAGAGCAGTCCGAAAAGATCGTGGATAAAGAGACGGAGTGTTCTTCGGTTCGCTTGTTGGCGGTTCTACGCCGACATCCGATGAACCGTCCGGCCGCATCAAGCTCTTTGCGATGGTCGGTTGTGCAATCGTCTGTGGGGTATAAACCTTCTTTGGAGTGCACCCATGGGTCGCTCCCCGTTCCGCGGTCTGCTCCGCCTTCCGCTTCGCCGCGATCGATTCCACGGATGTCCGAGCGGACTCTTTTGCATCTGATTGAATACCGCGGGTAGGACTGGTCCATGTACTCTACATTGGCACTTTTGATAATGTCGGGGTGCGTGGAGGCAACCTTGACAGGATGTTTTGTGCTAGTCACGAGATTGATTGACGGCTCTTGCCACACAGGTCGAGCAACGGCATCAACGCAAGACCGCCTCTGCAACGCGTAGTCGAAATGACCCTTCGGTGACATGTCCCAACGCTCCACCAACCCACTCCCCTTTCCGGACATTGGCGCCTTTCGGCACTTCATTTGGCGGTGCAGATAATACTCGCGCCACACCATTTCGCGACTCCAACTCGACCGCTCTGCCATCAAACTGCGTATGTTCACAGCGTGGACGTCCTCCATTGCACGTGCAACTGCACCACCGGAAGAACTTCCAGGCATGCACGCTGATGAGCACACGGAACGAACACACATGGAACAATCCATGAAGCGAAAAAGACGTGTGTGCGGCGCACATTACAACCCGGTGCAGTAGCGTGTACTAGGTCAATCCAGCAACTGGTCAATCCAGCAACTGGTCAATCCAGCAACTGGTCGTTGGAGACGCCCGTTTCCCACTCAATATTGCTGAGAGCCACAATGCAGGACTCCGCTACGATAGGGTCCGGGTCCGTCGAAAATTCTTGCCTAACGAGCGTAGCAGGATGGTCAAGAAGGGGGGGGGGTGCATCTTACAAGGTGCGGATAGCTTTGCTTCTGGCCTGTCGTCCGGCGGGAGTCCAGCGGTCTGCGCCAACGCTGCCGAGAGCTAGAGCGGCTTCGTGTCTAGCCATGGATGCTTCCTTAATGTCTGCAACACGTTCGATGAGTTTGTCAACGCAACATGGCAATTGCATTTGCCCCAGGACGAAGCAGACTTCGTGTCGCAACAAAGCGGAACTTTGTTCATCCAGGGCGAGTGCCAGTTGCCAAGCAGCTGTGGCCGTGTTGATGTTGCGCAGAGTAAACATGGCAACGTAGCGGTCCCAAAGCGGGGCCGTTTCGTCACAGAGTGTGCGGCCCAGATCTTCCACACATTCGGCCTTTTGTCTAGAGACGTCGCCTTCCGCTGGGTCTTTGGTGGTAATGAAGCCAGCAGGTACGGCGGCCTCGTCGTCTTTACGCGCAGATGCCGTAAAGATATAAAAACCCTTGCTCGGATCTGCTGCAGGCTTTGCGGCCACTTGTTTAAAAGACCATTCCGCAGTTCCCTCTTCGTGTCCCTCTTCATGTCCGTCTTCATGTCCGTCTTCATGTCCCTCCTCGTGTCCCTCTTCGTGTCCGTCTTCATGTCCCTCTTCATGTCCCTCCTCGTGTCCCTCCTGGTGTCCCTCTTCATGTCCCTCCTGGTGTCCTTGCTCTTGTCCGTCTTCGTGTCCCTCCTGGTGTCCCTCCTGGTGTCCTTGCTCTTGTCCTTGCTCTCTGCGGAACTTTTCCAGTTTCTTTTCCAGTCCAATTTGGACGAGCTCAAAGGTCTGTCGCACGGGGTCGCAGGGGTCCTGTAGATGTTGCGCAACGCACTTGAATACATCGTCGCTTATCACCCCCAAGGCATGCAGCGCCTCCCCTGCTTCATGACGTACCATGGCGTGCTCTTCTAAGTCATTCGCCAAACGAATCAAGATCGGTAATGCACTCGGCTGCGACATTTGCCCCAACACGTACGCAATCTCGTGCCGCAGTAATACCGATTCGTGCCACAACCCCGCTGCCAACGCGTCCACAGACTCAGGCCGATTATGAAACCGCGCGTAAAACAACGCCATCATCCGGTCGACAATCTGAGAGTCTTTCGCCTCCAACACTCGCCGAATCTTCTCTAACGACCAAGCCTCCAGCAACACCATTTTTCCACCCCAAAAAAATTGCCCGCAATTACAACCAAAATAATTGTCAGCCCACCGGGCGGGCTGGAGCCATCTCGCCAGACCACGGCTGTTGTAGCTGGAGGACACCACGGCACTACGTACGCAACGGTACTTCCCCGTCAACCATCCGGCCACCGCACCGATATGCATGAAACTAGGGACAAGAAGTTGAGCGGGAAAGATCTGTTTGTCTGGTGGGTCTGATCATCGGGTAGTGGCTCGCATGACTCTTGGTTGACACGTTGTCGCAGACCTCTAGTTGCGGGAACAGAGTCCTCTAGTCCAGAAAACGGTTCCCTAACATCAGCCTAGCCACGGAAGCGGCCAGCGACCTAAGTCACGGAAGCGGCCAGCGACCTAAGCCACGGAAGCGGCCAGCGACCTAAGCCACGAAAGCGGCCAGCGACCTAAGCCACGAAAGCGGCCAGCGACCTAAGCCACGGAAGCGGCCAGCGACCTAAGCCACGAAAGCGGCCAGCGACCTAAG